AAGTTCTTTTCCAAAATAATTGTACAGAAAATGGCTTTTTGAGGTCAAAGGTGAGGACGTTGGGCTTCCATTCATAAAGGTCATCACTGCAGACTTCCTGGTCATTCTGCACTACACACTGCAAGACACAAGTCCTGCCGTCCTCTTTCTCAGAATAAGGTGCTTTACTTTCTTTTTCATATGCTTTTATAGATTTCGGAGAGAGGAGGGGAGAGGGAGAGAGAATCATCAATGAGGAGAGAGAATCATTGATTGCTGCCTCCTGCACGCCCCCTACTGGGATTGAGCCCACAACCCGGGCATGTGCCCTGACTGGGAATCAAACCATGACCCCCTGGTTCATAGGTCAACACACAACCTCTGAGCCACACTGGCCAGGTAAGGGGCTTTACTTTCACTATGCTTTGAGGGGAAAGTATCTGGAATAACTGTGAAAATTCTTCACGCAAAAAACTTATACAGGGAACTAATAAAGTCTTTTCTTCCCATATAAAGAGTGCAAGTGTATGAAAAATGCAAAATACTCCAAAAGTTTGAATTTGTCATAAAACTAGTTTTCATAGTTACAGCCTTATGATCGCAAACAAATTATGTACAGAGCAATTTCTAATAATTCTGTGAGGAGCAACAGACACTGATCATTTGGAAGTTAAAAAATAATGCTTTGACTTTAATCTTGCAAGTTCATTTGAAGCATATTTGGTTTGTTTTGAAGTCCTGGTCTTATGCATTTGACAGGAAACCCAAGCAGAAAGAAAACATACATTTCTCATAGTTTCGTCTTTCAGCTTGACTCCCTGCTGTGTTGTGCCAGTGAGTGCGTGGTGAGAAATGAGTCTTGCTTTCTAAACGATGCGGCAAAGCGGCAGACCGTTGGGTGTTTTTAAGTGCTTTGTTGCTTTCTACACTTGAAATAGGGCAGAGCACCAAAGAAGGAAACTTAACAGTGGCACTGAAATGCCAGAGTGAGTCTTGGTATCCTGAAACAAAGGTGAAGGAAGTTGCCTCCTTGCTTCACTGAATATTTCACACCCCAAATAACTTCTTAGAACATTTACCTTTCATCACTAATTCTATTGGCAGAAATATTAAATAAGAAATAAACATTAGCTCGATATATATATATCAAGGAAGAGAGAGAGAGAGAGAGAGAGAGAGAGAAAGAGAGA